GTTCGTTCGGAAGAGCGAGAACTATTTCCTTTTTTTTGTCTTTGTATATATTTATGTACAATCATGTGGTAGTTACATTACTACCTTGTAATTTACTGCTATTTAGTTTTGAACAAATCGAATTTTTACGTTATTATTATTATTATTATTATTTTTCTTCATGTACATAAAACATATGTACAGAAAAAAGAAATTGGAATGAAAATTGGTGCAATCTATGAATGGTCAAGATCGACATTGTCGTATAATATTTGCTTTATTGTATGACTTCTTTTCTCTCGTTTTTTTTTATTTTTCTTTCATGACAACAATGACCGAAAAGATCTAGGTCATTCATTTGTTCTTTGTCGTAGTCTGTCTGTCTGACCATCGACTGGACAATGTAGTCTGTCGCCGACATGATAGAAAGACAAAAAAAAAATTCATGTGAATGCGTTCGGTCGGTCAGTATAATACATAGATGGCCAGACGACTGTTCGTTCACTATATGCGTAACCTTATATATGAAGGGCATGCACAGATGGTCAGACATACTCAAAAGAATAGTTAAGTGAAACACTTGAGACAGACATATATGCTTATTGCTAGATGGGTGGGAGGAGATTAATCGATACAAACTTATTCAACACACCCACACATACATCTCTCAATAGAAGAACAGATAACAATGGATGTATGTTGGCATTGAACATCGTAAAGATGATTTTCATTCATAGAATTTACATAATCGCACACATTCATTAATTTAACAAGCTATTGAAGCTTACCATTTTTCTTGTTAGATTTTTTATGTCTCGTTGTTTCTGATGTATGTTGATCATCAATACTTAATCGTGTAGAATCATCATCGTCATCATCATCATCATCAACATCATCGTCATCATCATTGTCATTCTCATTTTCTTCTCTATTTTCCTCATTTTGATTATCATTATCATCAACATCAAGAAGATCATCAATAGATTGAGGTGTTTTCATAATAACATTATTGTCATTAGTTGTCGGTGTATTTCTATCATCGATGTGTTCTTCAGATTCATCATTTGATTCTGGTGAATAACTTTTTGTTGTTGAATTTGATCGTGAATTTTTTGTTTGATGACTATCATATTTACTCATTTTGTTAAAATAATCATTTCAATTGCATATTTTAATTCTAAAAAAAAACAAAAGATAGGAAAAGAAAAAGTCATAGATTCTTCATAATTTTTATTTTCATTTCCTATTTAATAATTTCTCAATATATTTCTTTCTTTTTTATTTTATTTTATTTTTTTTTTTTACTTTCTGATAAACGTATAATGATATATAGTAATTGGTGTCCTTTATTCATAAATCAGCTCTGTACAAGTTATGCTTCATTAATTTTCATTTATCATCAAAAAGGAAAAAATCAAAAGACAGCACATTCATCTAATGACTATACATTTTTCTTTTTCTCTATATAATTGAACTTACATGGAATATCAACAGAAATATTGTAAAGAAGGCATTTTTTTTTTGTTTAATACACATTGTCTACAATCATAATTTTGTCTAATTTTATCCATACGTCATATTAAATGAAAATGCTCTGAAAGAAATAAAGGAATTTTTAGAGAAAGAAAAAAAAAAAAGACTTAAGGTTTTTATGGTCAAGGTCAGTTATATACATATATAAGTGTAAGATCGACAATGATAAATGTCCTTGACAAAGAAAATTCATGTTAATAATTAGAATGAATGATAGTATTACATAATTAAAAGAAATTATTTTTAAGATAGTTTTGAAACATAAATGAAAATCATAAGTATATGAATTATAGGCATATATGTACATAAATTCATTTGACACTGGAATAAAAACATAAATAAACAAAAAAAAAACGCAATATAAGAATGCTTTTTATTGATTGGTTTAGAAGTTTTTAGCCAATAGTATATTAATAGAAACATCTATTACTTGTAATTTTGATAAATAATTAATTTAAATAAAATTATTGAAAAATATGAATTTAGTATATTAAGTTATATGTATATGAATATGAGTCATCTGTATGAGGGTTCACAGTTATCTCGGGTAATTATTATGGCTACTGTACGCGCGTAGTCTTTAGTTGCCATACTACCAATATGGTATCCATTGAAAGTCTAGATGTTAGCTGATTATATTCAATTACGAGTAGATTAAATAATAAATGATGATGGGTTGTCAAAGCAATTTAGAATTATACTTCGGAAATTATGATTTGGACTCTTTAGTTAGCATAGAAACACATCTAAATTACAGAAAATATATAATCATATCTGGTCTTTTGATAAATATTTCTTTTGATAGTATTAGTAGAATATTCCACGAATAATAATGGTATTAAATGAAATAAGCTCTGATATTTACTCCATTATGTTTTGGAAAAACATCACTATGAAAATTTTCAACTGATATAATATTAACCAGTGGAATATATATGAGAAGATGATTAACTACTAGAAACAATTTATAACAATTCAATATTTGATATTTATTCTATATCAATACCTATTACGATAGACATTGTTAAAGTTGCTATCAAATACGTAAAGAAGATTAATTGTGAATATTAGTCGTCTAAGAGTTATCTATTTTTCTTTTATTACCAATATTCAGTCTTTATTTTCAATGACAATACTGTTCCATGTGATTGAAACCAAACAAAAGCCATTGATAGAACGCATTCGAAATTATTTCATACATTAAAAAAAAAAATCTTTATTTCTGTTAACTTGGAAAATCGCAAGGAGAAATTAATAGCTATTATGAGTAATGAAGAAATATTTGAAGTCGTTTTTTTGCATCACAATATAAATTTACTGAAGTTCTTCATTATTGATCGTTTTTTTTCTTTACACTTCTATCGTAATTTAATACAACGAACAAATAAAGACATGATTAAACGATTCGTTCACAAAACATCAAATAATCTTATCGGTAAGCATGAAATTCAAAAGGCATTTCTCATATTCGTCTTATCTAGGCAGGTATATAAAGAAAAAAAAAAGAATTATCAATGTATTGGCAATTATTCTTTACAAATAGTTGCTTACATGACAAAGCTACATGATACATTGAAGATAAATTATCAGTCAAGTATCATATATCCTGCAGATTAGATTGAATACAAAGTATAATGAAGATTAAAATTTATGAAACTCGTTTTATTGACAAATCTTCTAATGTATGATTATTTCTTTTTTTCTTTTGAAAAACTTGGAATTGATATAACAAAACATGAGTATAATGTGAATGTGAAATAGAAAAAAAATAAGAAACATAATGATAGTACGAGAACATTGAGTATCTTGGAGTAGAAAAAAAGTTCAAAAAATTTGTTGAAATATTTTTGTATTGGCTGATTAGGTCTAAAATGAAATAAAAGAAAAATGAATTACGTTGATATATTGCTCTGAAAATCATTGAGATTGAAAATATGATTAATTAATATTTTATTATAGTTTATGACGTATGTCTATCAGATTAATGATGGTTTGAGAACGTCTCAACATTTTTAGTGATTCAGATATTAGATCATAAATTCGAATAAAGATAGTTAATTTTACGTCGATCTATAGAGCACTTGTTTCAAAAATAAAATAAAGAGTTCATCAGAAGAAATGTTCTTTGAACGAAGTTAGATCTTCAAATGATAAATCACTTTCAAGTTGGAATTTGATCAATCAATAGGATTTAGTAAGTAGCAAAGCTGAGCAAGTACAAACTTTCTACTCCTCGAGCGCAAGTACTAATGCTTCGAGTACGAGTACGAATACAACCCTTTGGAAACACTAGAGAATCTGTTACTACCATCTGTGAGACATTGAAATTCGAAATGTGATGTAGCTACTTTTGTTGTTTGTAAAGAATTCCCTTTAATCTATCTACGTCACAGCACATTTATAAGCCATGCTTTTACTTATTTCTCTAGAAGTAGAATCGAAAAGTAGTTCACATATTTTGAATAAGGCATTCTTGATGTACAGTCTTTGATCGTCATTTCAGTCTGATGCCCTATTCATTTCTCTTGAAACTGAAATAAAGTTGAGTTCTATTGACGAGTTTTTCTGCTAGTTCTGAAAACGTTAAATCAAAGTCGCTATTTTTTTACATGGTTAACATTGAGAGAACGAGTTTACTACTATGATTAGAAGATAGAGCGTCTCAATTAAACTCTTTATAATTATCTAAAATAATGAAGAATAAATTCTTTTTATTTGCTTATGATTTTTGAGTCGGAATTTTACCGCAATTTTTTTTCAAAATTCGAATCATACAAAAGTATTTCTGATTCAAGCAAATACTTCTTAGAGAACTTACTGACATTAAATCTAAGAGATCATCTGAATTTTATTTTCATAGTTGAATATATAGATTTTATGATTATTGTTCGAAATTCATTAATTGATTTCATATTTTATATTTATGTAAAAATGATAAGATTTTCTTTATTATACACAATTATGTGATTAAAAGAAATGACAAACTATTAGCCTTTTGCTTGCTAGGTTTTTATCACTAGAAAAAATTTTGTAAAAGTATAAATATGAATAAAAAAAAGTATAATTATTGTCTTCTTCATATTATACGATTGATAATTTTATCTTATTTGGTAATATACATTGATATGAACAAGTCATTGTCTATTGATAAATACCAAGCAATTTTATATCGAATTTATGGATCAATATGTTAATGAAGAAAATATGATTCATTGTCATTTGAAACATTTAATGACAATATTAAAAATACATTTCCTTTTGAAGGACAGCATTATGCAGTGATAATATTAAATTACATTAATTGAATGAATTTTTAATACCATTTTAATATAGATATATGATAAGACATCTTTAGATGAATTGCATCAAATATTTATCGACTCGAATAAAACGAGAAAATTGGATTTCTTCGAGTTTTAAATAAAATTTTATTTTCTTTAAATTTTTTATCGAATTCATCAAATCTTATGAATATGTTGAAATTCTAGATGTCTTGCGGTCATAATCGTCGTCGACCAAAAGTCCCTTCAAAGTTTAGTACACGGTTGACTGATCAACATGAATCTTTGGTAGTCAACACACAATCAACAGAAAAAAATCATAAATTATCTCACAGTAGAAAAAGTAAACATACAGAAAATTTATCAGAACAAACATCACAGGAAAATACGGTTGATTTCGATCGATTTCGAGTAAAAATTGTTTTTGTTTTTGTTTTTAAATTCATATATATATATATATATGTATATGTTTTTATTATTTTTAAAGATCTTAGATGATGATGGCAATGATGTTACACCACGACTTATTACTGATTATGTTCGAATTAATATAAAAAATCGTTGTGAAGATGAAAAACCAACAACAGAAATTGCCAATAAACGGGTAATGGAAAATCAAGAATCATCTGTCTCTGATAAAAGTATTCTGGGTATGACAAATGTAACAACTTCAACTTCACATATGATTCATACTGGTACATTATTTTCTGCTGGGTGAATAATTTTCTATTTAAATAATAAATTTTGATTTCATTAATTGAAAATTTAGAGAAAAAGCAACACTTGATATAGGTACAAGAATTATATTAGAAAGTGAATATTTACTTAGTCAAACTCATAATAATCGAAAATCTCGTACTGATAATGAAAATGAAGAATACCAAGCAAAGTTTTTACCTGGTAAATATAAAGGAATATTATGTATTTAATATATATGACAAATAAAATATAATATAGGATTTGGTCTTCAATGGATTGATTCATTGACAGATAATATTTTATTAAGTGAAACTGAAACTATATTTATTTTGGATTTGACTAGTCATATTGTCTGGCAAGAAGATAATGATGAATACAATAAAGTAAATGAGCAAAATAAGATTTACATAAATGTAAGAGTCGCTTTGTTATTTTCATGAATTTACAGTTTTTAAATTTATTTGACGCCAATAACCTACATACATTATATATATATATATACAGTAGTTACAAGAAGTTCTGCTACTGAGTCACATGAAGTTATTTGCCAGATGTATTAACTACAAACTGAGCTCAATAAACCCTAATTGCAAGTAACAACCCGAAGTCGATAGGCCTTAATACAAAGGATTTACGATGAAAACATTGTTTTTTTCCTCAGAATTCAAAAAACAAAGAATTTTCTAGTTTTCCACAATTTAAATGCGTTAATCTCTATTTCTTATTAAAAAATAGAGATTCACAAGGCTATATTGTGTTTCAGATAAGATACATAAATCCTTTCTAATCTTGAGACGCAGAGAAGTTTCCATTGTCTTGATCGATCTCAGCATGAATCTTTCCTTTATTTATGACTGCGATCGTGAAATTTTCAAAGATAACTTAAGTAATGTAGTGCACTCATTCGAGAAAGTTTCAAGGTAAATAATCAAAATTAACTGGAGATATGGGTCACTTTTCGACGATTCTCACCAATCCTCATGTGAAGATTTTTCAAAAATTATTTCATAAATCAAGTAAACTAGATCTTTTTGACATGGCACTTTTATTCGTAATCGAGATAGTACTGAGTTGTCAAATGAGAGATCTAAAATTGAGGTACTTTTTACTGGGTAACGGGATTTTTTGCAACTACTATAAGCATTGAACTGCATTACTATTAGTCGTTTTTCATAATGTACATAATTTGCATGATGATTTTTGTGACAATAGTGAATAAAATTAAAAGCTTCAAATTCGAATTCAAAGATGAAAGTTTGAAAATATGATTTTGAAGAATTTTATTTTCATTTGTCTAACACATATTTTACAGAAGTTTACTTTTTATTATAGTTATGTGAAAATCGACAAGGCAATGATCTCTATATAGAACGTGGTATGCAAACATTTAATGATTTATCTAAACATGAACAAATTATTACTGATCCTGTATTTATACGAGTGTGTATTGATTGAGCATATTCTATATTTAGTTTTTATATGTTTTTAGTCACAACAATCATGGTCTAATACATGGGATCTATATGATTCTGCGGTTGAAGCTAATCAATATGAAGGCAAAAGTAATATTTTTGATAGAAAATTTTATGTAAATAAATTTCATTTTATATAAGTCTATCGTCAATATATGATACATGAAAAGGAAAATCTCAATGATAATAAAGTTATACATAACGAATATCAATATAGTAATATAGATCGAAAAATGTTTTCTAATGAATCATCCAAAACATTTTCATCACACAGTAAATCAATTATATACATAGAGTAGTTTGTAAATATTGTATATATGATTTTAAGGTTCATCTACTTTTTTTTCACAAGAATCTCTAGTAAAGATGACTTCTTCAAAAAACAATTGTTTTCAATTGAATGATAACAATAAAAATAAAGTATATCAATTATATTAAATATTCAAATTTAACTTCTATTTTGTTTTGTTTTTTTCAAGTTACCTGATATTGATGTCGATGCATTTATTATGGAACGTATTCTTAACTTGAGTACATATCATATAAAACAAGTCGTTTATCGAGGCATTAATACAAATTTTAATATTAATCGAGACAGTATGTAACCCTTGCTTAATAGTTTCTTCCGAAAAATCAATATTAGATAGTCTAAATTCGATGATGAAAGACAAAAATAATTTATCATTGATGAAGACTACAAATCTTAGTCTTGAACGTTTATGGCAATATAATTGTTATCTAACACATAATCGAAATGTATCTTGTTTATGTTGGAATGAACAAAATCATGTACGATAGAATTTATAATAACAAAGATAAAATTACGTTCTTCATATTTTAGGATATATTAGCTGTAGGTTATGGTAAATTTCAATATAATGATGATAAAGAAGGTTAAATTAAAACCTTTTGTTATTTTCTATGTCATATATTTACTAATAGGTCTTGTTTGTTGTTGGAGTGCAAAAAATCCAGAAGTATATTTTTACTTTGTTTTTTTTTATTGAAAAAAAATGTTTATTATTCAAGTTTCCTGAACGTTATTATCAAACGGATGCTGGTGTAACATCATTATCATTTTCAATCAAACGTCCAAATTTATTAGCTGTAAGAGATAATAAAAAGTTTTATTTTGAAAACTAACTCTATTATTAGATTGGCTTATTCAATGGTAATATATGTGTGTTTGATCTCAATCAAAACAATACTTCTCCAATCGTCGATACGAAGTATAGATGAAAAAAAAAAACTATCAATGTAAAATTAAAACGAAAATAATATAAAATTAATTCTTTTTTTCAGTGATTATGATAAAAAACATGCAAATCCGGTTTGGCAAATAGCATGGTACGAACGAGATCGTTCATCTGAGATAAGTAATATTGAAACACTAATATCGATTTCATCTGATGGTCGTATTACACAATGGATTCTTCGAAAAGAATTTGAAGCAACTGGTAAGTCATAGTTACAGAAGTAGACAAAAGGCTTGCACTCCTCTTATCTCGGCTAATATATACGCTGGAAGTCTGAAAATAGTTCAGAAATACAAGTTTGTCTCTATTACTTAAACATGACGAGATTTATGATGACGAAAGCTTATTTTTTGTTCAGACTTTGAGTCTCAGAACGATTATAAAGTAGATTTTTCGTTACCTGTTATCAAGTTATGACTAGTTTTTGATATTTTAGTCATGCTGGTAGAGCCCAATCTATGCTTTTGTTATTAGTTAAGAGATTGGGTAGTTTAATCAAAGGTTGTTTCCTCTGACTCCTTTGTATCAACACGATAATTATTTGAATGGTATCTTTCTTTAATGGAACGTTCTTTCATGAAACTTTCACTACAAATAAAGCCTATGTACAAGTTTCAGCTCAATTCACTCAACCACGATTGAGTTATCGTCTTGAAAGGTCAACAGATAGTTTTTCTCATCCCGATGATTATGGGAAAATGACGAATCAATCACTAAATAATGAATCAGGGGTATGAGTGGAAGACTTTTATTACCGAGATATCGATTTTTTTCCTTCAAACAACGAGTTTAATAAAAAAAAAGATATCTTACTGAATTTTTTGTATGACAAAAACATGAACGTATTTTTATGGTCGACAATGTTTTGTATTGATGGAGAAACATTGTACCGTAAGTTAACAAATTTGTAAAATATTTAGATATTATGCGTTTAAAACCTCATCATTCATCAAAAACAACATGTCAAATATTAAAAACAAATGATGAGACACAGAGTAAAGAATATTTTTCAAATTTTGTTGGTGGTCTTTGTTTTGATATTCGTTTGAACGATAAAACTATGTTAGTTTTCATTATATTATATCCTTTGAAAAAATAATATCATCTTTCTTTAGTTATTTATGTGGTACTGATGAAGGACCTATTCATCGATGCTCGACGATATATAATGAAAAATATTTGGAATCTTACATAGGTCATACAGGTCCTGTTTATAAAGTTCATTGGTCACCATTTGCTGAAAACATATTTTTAAGTGCTAGTGCAGATTGGACAGTTCGTTTATGGATGATTGGATATAATCAATCGTCCATGATATTTTCATCATCAAATTCAAAAGTATTTTTTGATGCTATTTGGTCACCTAAATCATCAACGATGTTTTGTTGTGTTAGTGAGAATACAATTGAAATTTGGGATTTATCTAAGAGCACGTACAATGTTTCTTTTTTTTTGTTTTTCTTATTTATGAACGATTTATATGAATTCCAGACTTGATCCAATTTGTATTGCTAATAGTACAAATCAACGTACATTAACGTCGATTACTTATGCTACAGATTCTGATGTAAGTTCACAGGAATAAAAAGTCTACATGGATCAGTGTTCTTCTTTTTCGTACAGTGTGTCTTAGTTGGAACGAGTGATGGTGCAGTATGGATTTATCATTTAGAAAATCTTTCATCCTCTGCTAATGTAAGAATATGAAATAAAAATCTGTTGCATGTATTGCTTTTATGCTATGTTTCATAGGCAAATGATTTGATTACAATCGTTCAACAGAGCCTACTTAGTCAACTTGATTTTGTTAAAAAAACTGACATACATCGAGAAACTTCTCTGACATCGACTCAATCTCATTGAATAGACCATGGTTAACATTAACTTAATTATGTTTTCGAATAAAATCTTTTTATTATTGCAGAAAAGATTTCACTAACAAGAGAAAAATATGTCTTGTTATTTCTAATATTTTAGATTGATCAAAAAAGCAAACGACCGAACGATGTTGGAAATCGTAAAACAGTTCATTTTACTCGATAACATTCTACTGTAAAACTTTATCAGCATAATAATAAAAATTATAAGTAAAAGAAAAATTCTCCCATCTAGAGTTCTCGCATTACAAAACATCATTAATGCTTTTCATTTTGCAAAGTTAATATTGACATTCAAAAGGTTACAAAACGCATCTCTTCTATATAATATTCATTTATCTGCATTTTCAAACTATCATGCAGAGGGTGTGAGGTGTGTGTGGGTGTGGGTGTGGGGTGTGGGTGTGGATGTGGGTGGGGTGTGGGGTGTGGGTGGGCGTGGGCGTAGGTGGGTGTGGGTGTGGGTGTGTGGATGTGGGTGTGGATATGGGTGTCAGTGTGGGTGTGGGGTGTGGCTGGGTGTGGGTGTGGATGTGGGTGTCAGTGTGGCTGGGTGTGGGTGTGGGTGGGTGGGTGAGTGTATCTGTCTGCACTCAAACCACACCCACATCCACACTCACAAACCACACCCACACCCCCCCCCCCACACCCCCCCCACACACCCACACCCACCCACCCACACCCACACCCACACACCCACACCCTTTATGAAGCAAATTGAATAAGTGTTCTAAATTAACCATAGACAATAATAATAAAAAACAATGATTCTTGATTTTGATTTACTTTGTATTTTCAAATGTTATTTATTTTCATAGCACAAATGTCAACTAATACTTTGAACTGTTGTTCAATTTGATTTCGATAAAGAATATCTTCATTTAATGGAACAATTCAAATCTAAATAAACAAACATATATATATATATAATGTTCAGTGTGTGTGTGTGTGTGTATGTTTCTTTGTGTCGGGTCAAAGGTCAAATACGGCTATAAGGGGAAGGCGCCAAGGACTACTATATTGGGGTACCCATAGGTCCTCAAAGGCTATCCTATTGGGATACTCAAAGGGGAAACAGCTGACTTCAAGACTTCACGAGACTTCATGAGACTTCAAGGGACTTCATGAGACTTCACAGACTTTAAGAAACTTCAGAAGACTTCATGAGGCTTTAAGAGACTTCACAAAAGTTTCAAGACTTCATGAGACTTCAAGACTGAAGTCCCTGCTATTTTCCCCTTGGGGGTACTCATACGTTCTCAAGGACTATATTATTGGGATGCCCATAGGTCTCATGGGCTATTATATGGAGGTACTCATAGGTCCTCACGGGCTATAAGACTGTAAGGGGTAGGAGATAAGGCTATAGGAATATGAGGCTATAAGCTGGTAAGGGGATAAGGATATGAGGCTATAAGCTGGTAACGGGATAAGGATATGAGAGTAAAGGGGATAAGGGACTAAAGCTACAGGGATATAAGCGATAAAGCTAAAAGAGTATAAGGAGATAACAGTATAGCGGATAAGTAGATGATGTTGCATAGTGTTAGAAAAAGATAGGCGCCTTTTTGTTTAAAAAAAAGGTTGTTAAAAATTAATTCATTCTCGTTCTGAATAAAACTTGTATGTGTTTCTTTTTTTTATCTAAAACCAATAAACACTCTTAACTGAAGCTAACATTTGGTAGCAGCGACTATCCCTATTCACGATGCCCACTGAAGGTGCAGATTTGGAAAATTTGTTAGAACGAGTTATTCAAATGAACATGATTATTATTGAAGAAATGCACGAGCAGCATAAACAAATTACTGAACAACAAGTACTCATTTCATCACAGTTGTCTACACACTCGTCAACAACTGTACCAGCTGAAGCATTGACTGATCCTTTATCACGATCATTCAACAAAATCAATGTTAAACCCAAAGAGTACAACGGTACCAATGAATAAAATGTTGTTACTTGGCTAATAGCTTTGGAAGAAATTATGGCCAATCGGTTAATCCACGATGATGATCGAATATCCCTTGCTGTTAGTTTATTAGGTGGTACGGCTTTACAGTGGTTTGTTAACTTGAAATTGAAAAATCAACGACCTTCATCATGGAATGAATTTAAAGAACAATTACGATCTCAATTTCAACCAGTCGATTTTCAAGAACATCTTCGACAAAAATTATTACAATTAAAACAAAAACATATACTACAAGATTATATTCAGGCATTCCGCAACATCGTTGGTCAAATCCATAACATGGACGAATTAACTCAAGTTATATTTTTTGTAAATAGTCTATCGTCCAATACTGGTTTATATGTACGATCGAAACATCCACAAACAGTCGAAGAAGCTATTCGTGAAGCAACAACTTATGACAATGTCATGGCAATTGGTAAGGCCAATAATTTTACATATAATCCGTTTCTTGAAACATCCTCTACTGTCGAATTAAATTCTATTAAAACTCATCAACAACGTTATTCAACACCATTCAACTCAGTAACAACGAAAGCCGATTGTCTTAAATTTGGTTTATGTTTTTATTGTAAGGAACCAGGTCATCGTGCATTAAAATGTCCGGAACGACCGCAGCAACAGCAGTCACCAGCATCATCTTATCAAAAAAACGAGCAACGGTAGATGTGACGGGGACCACATCTACCCAAGGGGGAAAGCGCAGGTTCCAAGCACCAAATTATGGCCGATGGTGCTGAAAAGATGCTGAGGTACTGAGAAGGTGCTGAGGTGCTGAGAAGGTACTGAGGTGCTGAGAAGGTGCTGAGGTGCTGAGGTGCCAGGGTGCTGGGTGCCAGCACTTTCCCCATTGGTGTGGATCTTCTGTTTAACAACACCCATACTCACACCCACACCCACAGCCACCCGCACACCCCCTATCCACCCACAGCCACACGCACACCCCATATCCACCCACACCCACACACACAGCTACAGGCACACGCACACCCCACACCCACCCACATGCACACCTACAGTCACACGCACACGCACACCCCACACCCCACACCCATACTCACATCCACACCTACACCCTGAGGGCTTCCTGCACCGATTCACTCGAGTAACGTTCAATTTTAGATGAGTACTGCTCTAAGTGCAATTCGATGAGGTCTATCGATTGATGAAAACCGCTCTGAAATATCTCTAACCGTCTTCTGCCAAATCGCCTAACACCTGCATCATAAATAACTTACTGTGAAAAGTCATCAGTAATTCTTGTATTGATCTTCTCTCGAAGGGCTCCAACTGTAAAAGCTCATAGTATTAGTAGGATGTTATATGGTATATTCAATAGTGAAATCAGATTTTCAATATCTGATTCGAATCCTCGACGATTCCTGAAATATCTCTGATACAAGTAGCGCATGCCTAAATTTCATGAGTATTCCGTCCATAGATTCTATCAGCAGACATTCCAGGCGCACTTATTTCTGACTCAGGTATAACCTGGTTGAGGGGGTGAAGTGTGGATGTGTGGGTGTGAGTGGTTGTGGTGCGTGATATAAGTATTTTCTTAATTGGTGACCACACCCACATCCTGCTTGAGAAGGCTCGATAAGTTTAGAAAACGTCGAACTTGTACGATAAGTAATTTTATGTCGACGAATCTAGAAATCAATGTTTTAGTTGAAAGTTCGGAGAGCAGTGCTGATTGTTCTCATCGCTATACGAAAATTCTTCTTGTATACTGTGGATGGAAGAATAAAGATGAGAAATGTGATCATCCCAGGTGTGAACGAGACGAAGTAGCTTAACAGGAAAAGGTATGGCTGCCGAGGCGACATCATGCATTGGTTAGCTGCAGCGAAAACTATTCGTGGTAAAGTAAGCACCATTAACATCAACGGGCTGATAATTAGATGACGATGCTCAGAAAGTTGTTTACATAACAATATCCCACATATTTGCTTTTTTAAGACACGTGATTTCAAACGAGTAGTGCGAAATGTGATAACCAAAGCAGATATGAAATTGATTATGAAAGGAATCGTCAGATGAATGATACTGACAGCTATTATGTAATTAGAATGACGACCATAATCAGACGTACACCATAAACGGTTTGTAACAGTATCGAAAATTAGATCCCGATGGAACGGCTCCGGAATGAATGTAACAAACGGGAACAGTATAATTGTAACAGAAACCCATCTTGCAATATATCTGCTTTTTATTTTATAGAAGTTTCGACTAGTAAGAGAAAAAATTGTGCGCTCGATGCTAACACAGGCGTGTAACCAATCTCCGACAATGGGAAAACATTTCAATAAATAATCAAGAATCAGACAGACAGCATAAAGAGCAATATAATTCTGCGCGATTAATATTTGCGTCAATAAAAGATGAATAAATTTGATAGCTAGTAGAAGCATAGTCAATATGTGCATCAGTGATGATAGAAGCAAATAGACACCCGAGCCAGTATCCTTGACATTGAGTAAAGTCACGAATACGAGTAGATTGGTTATAATACCAATGATAACAATAATGCATACGATTGCTGTACTCAGTTTGACAATTGAGGGCTGCTGATAGAAAGATCTAGACGGAAGAATATGCAAACCGAGGATGGCATCAAGTGAGATAGCAAGAGCACTAGTGGAAAATTGGCACGTCGATCCGTAGAAACACGGAGCACATCGACAAATCGAATTTTGTGGACAATAATCATTATCTTGAGCACATGTTGCGCCATTTTGACATTTCGATTTCGTATTCTGACATTCGTACAGACGAGAAACGAAATGAAAACAATCTGTGTGATTATAACGATCACAAAAGCACATAAATGATTCATCAAGAAAGCATGAAGCCAGTTGTGTTCGACATGGTTTTTGATAATATTTTATTCTTTTCAAAGATGGATAGGCCAAAATTGTAGCGCTGAACAGTTCACTGATATGAGGACAGCGCTTCGACGATTGTGCGCTCACTGTCAATTCACTAATATTATTTGTGTCATGAAGTACAGATAGCAAGTAGTAGGCATCGATCGACGAGATCGTTTGCAAAATAATTATTCGAGGTACTGTTTCTGCATCTAATGTAAAAGAGTAATCAGTCTGATACAGATTCGATACTGACTTGAGTAAGACTAGACGTCGATGTTCATAACTAGCTTCAAGACGGATAAAATGTAATATAAATGAGGCAGGCAGTTCGACGTCGAAATGAACATGCACTCGTGCTGCGTGGAGCTCACAACGACTACCAATAAACCCCTCTGGACAGATACATAATGTACTTTCACGACGAAAATCAATGGCTATACAGGTTCCACCATTTTCACCTGAAACGAAAACTGGTTCTGAACTGATCAAAATAATAGTATACCAAGAAAATAACTCAGTAGTTTATGAAATCTATTTAGCCAACTAAGAACTTACACATATTAGATGATTGATTGCACAACCATTGTCGAAAAGGAATGTAGCAATTTTGACCGGTCCAACCTAACGGACATATGCATATTGGACTGCCAGACGCTGTTCCAATACAAACACTATGAGGTGCACAAGTACAATTGATTTGAGGGAAGGCGTCACATAAGCGTCCCATCCAACCGTGAAAACACCGACAGTACGAATCATTCCTGTTTACATAGTTGACACATTCACCATTAATACAGTTGGGAACACAATTTGAATCAGATTGCACATCAGATACCATAAGAGAAGCTACTATTTTATTGACTGGAAGGAAGGGAAATTGAATAATGTACATCCATGACGCATGAAAATGAGGTTCGACTAACGAATACATGATATTCGAAATTAAATAAGCATCGACACGTACATAATACGAATCATGACGTCCACGATGATAAGTCAAGTAAGCAAAATACTTTGTTTCGCATTCAGTCCACACATGAAACAGTCGTTCATATGTCACAATATATGAAGTTCGATTATCAATTAAAGAAAGAACTAGTTCGACAACAATGTGACGTTCTCTTAGCACTTGAGAGACTTGAACCTTTAGATAAATTCCGAGACGTTCACGTTGATACTGGCATCGTCTGCCATAATATGAAGGTGGGCAAAAGCATAGAGCTCGTGTATACGAGAGAGCAGTCAAACCTCGATTACAATGCCAAGTCATGTAAGCATATATGAATGGATCAATAAAATTTTTCCTTCGTTGTACAATGATAGAGGTATTGTCGAGGTTGAAGTGAGCGAAAGGAGAGAAATTAGTTAAATCGCAAAACATCTCATCTTCACCTCTTGGACAGTCAGCGACTCGGTTACAACGATTATCAAAGATTGTTGTCGCTCTACCATTCTGTAAGGTGACTTCTTGACAATGATATATCTTTTCTTGCTTGAAAGAATCAATGCAATTATATTCTCCCGACCTGTTGAACCAAGTGCACACACGCCACTCATCGGTACCTCCAGGACAATCATTGAAACAGTCACATACTTGTAATGGGTCGATGCAGATATCACTATCAAGACAGCGATAGCGTCGCATTATCTCTTGTGGATATTTTTTGCGACAAAAGTCGCGTTCATCTGTTGCTCCTGAAAAAAGCGAATGTTCTCTTTCAGATTCAATGAAACACGATAATAGTGCTTGCTCTTCACAGTATGCGAATGACAAATAATCAGCAAGGATGAAGACTGTGAGAATGAATTTCACATATTTGCTTGTTTACACAATAAAGTCGAGCAAAATTGAAGTTGTAACGTTTGCTTTTTTTTACTTCATGCTTTTATCTACTAACCTACAAAATTTAAGCAGAATGCTCAGAACTTGCTGTGTCTTTTGGCATATTCACTTTAGACATCAAATGAAATTTAAAATGTAAAAAAAGTGTACTGGGAGGAAAATAACTGTTTTCTATTTCTACGCTGTTCATAATCAGGTGATATTTTTTATTTGGTGTATATATCAACTTAGATTAGCTATAAAACGTTGAATCCTTTTCAAAAGATGTACCGTAAAAATTTCTGCAAAAGCTGTGTAATTGAAATCGTTTTTATCTGTTTCGATAGTTTTTTCTATACTCAAAATGAACAACGTCTATGACATTGCTATTGCCCATTGCATTGTAGATATTTCGACAACTTCTATGTTCTGAATATATCTCGACTTGAAAAAATGGTAGAATATTGAAGTTGTTTTTCAAAGATGCGCAGTCGAAAGCTTTGCAAGCCTTATCTAAACTGAATCCTATAGCAAATCGTAAAAGTTCTCAAAATATTTTCTATATGATGGTGGGTAATATAACTATCTATATGTTTCCCATTTTGAATATAGGAAAAACCATCAGAAGAAGCAAAAAGAATCCAATCATACAGCGTTTGTAGAATTTTTCACTATGTATTCTTTCAAAAAAAAACTAATTTTATCATCTACTTACGTTGAGATATGTGCGAAATAAAGAAATATAGCTAGATCATGAACATTTAGTTTTGGAAAAGAAAAAAATGATCTTTTTTTTATAACAAACTTTTTATTTTAAATTGCATTTGATGTTTAAATTAAGTGTATCAAAAGATGCAGCAAGCTCTGTACATTCTTCCTAAATATGATGGATTAATAGATAAAAACATATGGTAATAAAAAACAAAAAAAAAATATCAAACAGTATATTTTGAATTTTCCTCTACTGT